AGTGCAGTGGGCTCCAAAGCCCGACCAAGCAAACTGGACTGAGAGCCCATTCCCTAACACCCACCAATTCTACGGTCAATCCCAAGTGCCTGGCAGCTTGTCTAGAGGCCATGGGGTTCCCTCTCCTTGGGGTGGGCAGGTTGAGCTGTCAGGCACATTTTTGGGAGGAGGCAAGGAGCCTGACTCCAGAATCCTAACCACAACCCCACCAGGAGACACTGCTGCACAGAAGTGTTAGGGTCTGCAAACAGCAGCTGTGCCTAAACCCAAAGGACGAGCTGGCAAATGCCCAAAACACAAACGAAGCTGTCCACTGGCCCTGGCAACCGGCTTCCTCCTCAAACTCTCTCCTCCCACCGTGAGGTAGAATCGTCACTGCAGTTCATTCACGCATGCTCTGAGAGGATGCAGACGACTCTGTGATCAATACGAAGGAAAGGGTGATTGTCACTTAAATTAAAACGCAACAATTATTTCTGCTCTGATGATGGCCCGGGTGGTGAAGTCTTGCTTTGTTTCAGGAAGACACCTGTCCCTACACATATTCCACCTGGCAGGAAACTCTGTGAAAACGCATCTGTCTAACGGTAAAACCAACTTTCATCCCTTGACCACTTGACAGAGACTTGAGAGGCATGATGAACTGAAGGGAAGGCTGAAATTGAGAACCTGCTACATGCAATGCACCAAATGTCCTGCATGTGGTAACTAAGATTGGTCCCGCGAGGATTAACTGATGCTGTCCAGCACCTCGGCTTCCCCCACAGCCACTGTATGGGCCGCCCGAGGCCTGGCTGGAGGAGGGCGCATCACAGCAAGGTGCCAAAGGGCACTTTCCGTCCCCTTTCGTGGACATGCACACCGGACAAAATGGGCTCAGTCAGGGTCACTTCAGACACCTGCCGGCAGTGGAAGCCTTGCCAAATGTCTTCACCTACCTTAGGAAGTTATCGATATTCCCATTACATTTGTTTTCAAGCCACCCAGGAGAACCGCATTTCAGCCCAAGGAAAGGTGCTGTGGCTTCGCTGGTGGCTTGGAAACTCTTTGGGGAAAGAACAACGGAGAGACAAGACCCTTTGTTTGCCATCTTCCACCAGCCCCAGCCCCTAAATCACACCCTGTACTAAACTGCCAGAACCCCCAATTTGTTAGTAAGTCTTAAAAAGATAAATTCTTCACTGTAGACGCTCAGCTTTATAATCTCCTGCTCCCATCTCCCAATAAAACTTTCAGTTAAGACTTATGTTGAACTGAGTGAGGTTTATTTAACTGCAGGATTTTCAGCTGAAACAACAGTTGGCATTTTTCCTTCAATCTCCCGCAGAAACACAAATTTATGTACCTACAAGGTAATAAGGCAAAGTCTTAAATTTAATCAGAAGAAATATTTCACCCATGGCAAACTGATAAATTATTTAGAAAAGGGCTCAATCGGCCTGTCAAGGAAACCTGGGCCAGATAGTCTGGCAGCTTCAGAAAAAAACATCATCGTCATGGTTTCTCTAAACTCCTTCTTGACCCCAAATCACCTTTATCAAAATGTTTAATCTTTAATAGTTAAAGCTAGAAAAGTAAAGAGGAAAAACCAGAAGGATTTTAACCAGGAAGGATATCAGCTCATCAAGGTATCACTCTTATGATGCTGACAGGTTTTCAGTGGTTGATTTTCTGCACTCCCTGGACGAGATGGAAGTCACAGGATTCCCCAGCCTGCTCCCATCCATGGCAACGTGGAGGCATGCAAAGATTTCTGCAAACACTAATGAAAATGACCTTATTTCCAGTGGCCCAACCTTTGTGAGTCTTGCAGTACAGGACACAGAGAGAGAAAACCAGATCTATGGGTATCTACATCAAAGGTCTAGAAATTTAATAACGTTCCCATTGTTTTATTGCAGATGCAACCAACCTCTCTTTATTACTGCAAAAAACTCGAGAGCCCTGTAGAGTGCAATGAAGTGGTGTGTGTTTTGCTCTGCAATGTTTCAAAGGACCCTGATTTATAGTTAGGAACCAGGCGCCCATGCACAAACATCTGAGCTTGGTGACTGCCTCACGTTTTGTGCAAACTCTATGAGGAAGCATGAGGCTGCCACACTCTGAAAACCACACCATCGGATGCCAGGCCTCCCTCCCTCTCCCGTAACCCACGTGAAGGGGTGCAGAACAGAGAAGCGTGCACTTGCACCAGGACACGTGCCATTATTGCCCAGTGAATACTGCACAGCCCCATGACTGATACCAGCGAGCCAGTCAGGCATCCCGCTGCACTGTTACCTTAGGCTTCTGAAATATGTAAGTCCCACTAAGAGTCTGTAGTAGCAACATTTTAAACATTTTTATAGTACTTAAAAATGAATGTAATGGTCTTGGCATTCAAAAATGAAAATATTAAGGATTCATTGTTGTGTCTGCTTCCTGAATGCAGGCAAAAGATCTCACCCTGTCTGCAGGAACTGCTTCTTTCTAGGCTATAGCTGATACTTTATTCCAATTCTACTTTATAAACCAACCCAGATGGAATCCCACCCCACACTGGTACGCTGGCACCTTTTCCTAGGCATCCAATAATCTGTAAACATTCTCCCTCATCAGCCCTTTGAACTCTCTCTCCTTCAAAAAATTACATTATAGATCTGTTCTTGAAATCTCACTAACTTTAACAAATTTTCTCAGACTAACAACCGTCTACCCAGAGGACTATACTCCTTTGTACTGCTACTGGCCACCCAAGGTTAGCCCTCCCACTATCCTGGGAAGGTAATTTCTCTGTCCTATATGTGATTCTACACTGTCATTTTTGGATCTGCAATCATTTCTCTCTATATAATGTTACCTGCCTTACACGCTAATGCCTCTTCCTGATAGCATGGAAGAGATCTGCTCATAGACAGAAATTTAGATTAAAAATAATAATAATCCCAGTGTAGAAGATTCCATTTACTGTCAGCTAGCATGAACTTACTAATACCTACCAAGCTAAACTAATAATAAAGCTAGCAGTAAATCAACTCTTAGAACACATACACACGCACAAAAATTACACACCACACCAAATGTAATGAACATGTAATGTCTTGATATACTAAATATGCATTCTAAAAGACTGTATCTTCTATATAATAATTCTTTAAAAGGAAGAAAGTAATTAAAACAGCAGAGACCCTTCCTATGAAGAATACAATCAGTAGATCTGGTCACGTTCTTTTTTAAACAAATGTGTCTAGCAAAGAGCAAAAGCATAAAGTCAAACCCAGAGGAGGGTCAGAAGTAGCTAAGTCAGAAAGGCATTCTTTTAAATTTTAGTAGTGCTGGTTCTCAACCTTCCATCTGCCAGTGACATCGTGTCTTCCGATATTACCTGTGCACGTTGCCCCATGTGGACGATAAGGTCTGTCTACGCCTCTCACTCACCCCTAAGTGCCTGTCTAGCCTGGAGTACCTTCAAAGTCCTCAAAGAAACTATTTTCTACTGATAACATGCGGCATCTCAACTATTTTTAAAGGAACACACCATCTAAATATCTTTCTGGTCCTCATCCAAGCCCCAAACACACTGTACTCTCAAGAAAAATGCTACTGAATTTTTATATAAACCACCAAGAGGTAACAAATTCAAGGGAGGAAAAAGCAAAGCCTTTAGACATAGATGAAAATCTCCACTAAGAAACTGCCTTCTAAAGAACAAGAGCCCAAGGACTTCCCTGGCGGTCCAGTGGTTAAGATTCCACGCTTCCACTGTAGGGGGCACAGGTTCAATCCCCAGTCAGAGAACTAAGATCCCACATACCACACAGAAGGAACGGAGGGAGGGAGGAAGGGAGGAAGGAAGGAAGGAAGGAAGGAAAGAAAGAAGGGAGGGGAGGGGAGGGGAAGGGAGGGGGGAAGGAAGGACAAGAGTCCATTACTACTGACTTGAAAAGTTAGAAATGCAAAGCACAAGGACACAGCAGCGGCACAGAGATATTTTGTGACATTAGTCACCTGGCACCATAAGCAACAGTAAAAAAATTACCAAGGGCACCATCACAGGCAGGAACAAATTTATTCCTGGCCATTCTCTGCTCTTGGAATGTAAATAATCCATGAAGAATTCCTAAATCCAGATCACGTGGATAAATAATCCACGAACGAAAATGCCAGACGGGCAAGTGTTTGCTGGTTCTCCAAGACATTCCCATTAGGCTTACGCCCGAAATGGAGAAGCAAAGACCCATGGGAGGCATGCCGGCAAGGCCACCTGCTCACCACCCCCTCCTTGTCACGTCCTATAGATAATTCCAGAACCAGCATCACACAAAGCTGTATGGAAAGGCACCTCCATAAACACCCCAGATTTCTAATTTTCTATTAGAATTATTAAATCCTCAAACTAGTTAATGAGAAAGACTAAATAAAATATGTCTTCGGGCGGTTTACAAATAACTTGAGATCTAAAGGCAATCTGACAGAGTTGTTATATTCTATACCACTTTTCTTTTTTAAAAATGGTAAGATATAGGCAACAGAAGACACAGTAACTGGTAACTGACTCCCTAAAAAGAACCTTACCTTTTGAATCAAAGGCAAAGCATATAACAGGTGTCACCTTTTGAATGCTGACTGCTTTTTTCCTCAACTATTTGAAAATTGAAGATGGGAGAAATAGCTCTAAGTAGTTGAGGTTGCAGAAAATGACTGAAAATACATTTCCTGTGTAAAATAAAAACCGCGATTTAAGAGTAACATGAAAAACACTTTTTCTTTTCCAAATATTTCAGGGGAAAGCGTAGGCAAAATAAATAACAGACCATCCAATTAATGGCTCATACTAGGGCATGTGCTTCATTATGAATCCATGGAGCACATCAACAGACAGAAAGGGGTTGCAAGCCTGCCACGGGGAGTGTCCAATCACTGGATTATATGAGGTGAGGATCTGGATTCAAAGATTGTTTAAAACCAAGAAACTAAATTTCCCTGTAAGAAAGAAAAAGGAAAGCAAATAAAGAACTTACCCTTGGCTGCCAGTTCTCGTACTGCTTCTGTAAATTCGCACCAATGGTTTCCAGGGCTTTCTGAGGACCCATTGACAGAGGATCTGGGAAAGCAATGAGAAGGAGTAAGTTCTTTATTTGTGCATTTCCTCCTTGCTAAATCTCTCTTTCAGAGTTTCCTCTCACACAAGTCACTTCAAAGTCACCTCTGACTAAAGACAACACAACAGGGCTTGAGGTTTACCTGTGTTTAGCCAGACTTATGGAACCGCTAAGGCACCCGAATAGACTGAAAAGCCACAACTCTTCACCTTTCTAGAGAAAATTGTTTTTATTAACATCACTGGCCCCGTGATTGTTTCCTTTCATCCACGTTTGTTATTTCAGCACCTATGGTTCTCTTGCCCTCTTACTGCTTTATCTTGTGCTCCTATTCAGGCCCAGGCTGTGATTCTGTGGAAAAGAGACCCACCCTGTGGACAAGGGGTCCTGTACCCCTATTCATTCTGGGTTTACCTATTCACTTCAGGAGGAGCTTCTAGAGCAAATAACTCTAGACCAGCAAGTCCTGAAATTTATCTGGTCTTGAGTCCTTTTCACACTCTAAAATCGTGGAGTGTCCCAAAGAACTTTTGTTTATGTGGCTGTACCTATCGGCATTTACTATATTCAAAATTCAGATGAGAAAATTTTAAAATATATCTTTATTCATTTAAAAGTAATAGCACTCTGTATGAGTCTCTAGATCCATCCACGTCTCTACAAATGACTCAATTTCGTTCCTTTTTACGGCTGAGTAATATTCCATTGTACATAGGTACCACATCTTCTTTATCCATTCATCTGTCGATGGGCATTTAGGTTGCTTCCATGACCTGGCTGTTGTAAATAGTGCTGCAATGAACATTGGGGTGCATGTGTCTTTTTGAAAGATGGTTTTCTCAGGATATATGCCCAGTAGTGGGATTGCTGGGTCATATGGTAATTCTATTTTTAGTTTTTTAAGGAACCTCCATACTGTTCTCCATAGTGGCTATATCAATTTACATTCCCACCAACGGTTCAAGAGGATTCCCTTTTCTCCACACCCTCTCCAGCATTTGTTGTTTGTAGATTTTCTGATGATGCCCATTCTAACTGGTGTGAGGTGATACCTCGCTGTAGTTTTGATTTGCATTTCTCTAATAATTAGTGATGTTGAGCAGCTTTTCATGTGCTTCTTGGCCATTGTATGTCTTCTTTGGAGAAATGTCTATTTAGGTCTTGTGCCCATTTTTTGATTGGGTTGTTTGTTTCTTTAATATTGAGCTGCATGAGCTGTTTATATATTTTGGAGATTAATCCTTTGTCCATTGATTTGTTTGCAAATATTGTCTCCCATTCTGAGGGTTGATTTTTGTCTTGCTTATAGTTTGCTTTGCAAAAAATTTTAAGTTTCACTAGACCCCATTTGTTTATTTTTGTTTTTATTTCCATTACTCTAGGAGGTGGATCAAAAAAGATCTCGCTGTGATTTATGTCAAAGAGTGTTCTTCCTATGTTTTCCTCTAAGAGTTTTATAGTGTCTGGTCTTACATTTAGGTCTCGAATCCATTTTGAGTTTATTTTTGTGTATGGTGTTAGGAAGTGTTCTAATTTCATTCTTTTACATGTAGCTATCCAGTGTTCCCAGCACCACTTATTGAAGAGACTGTCTTTTCTCCATTGTATATCCTTGCCTCCTTTGTCATAGATTAGTTAACCACAGGTGTGTGGGTTTATCTCTAGGCTTTCTATCCTGTTCCATTGATCTTATATTTCTGTTTTTGTGCCAGTACCATATTGTCTTGATTACTGTAGCTTTGTAGTATAGTCTGAAGTCAGGAGTCTGACTCCTGACTCCTCCAGCTCCACTTTTTCCCCTCAAGACTGCTTTGGCTATTTGTGTCTCCATACAAATTTTAAGATTTTTTTGTTCTAGTTCTGTAAAAAATGCCACTGGTAATTTGATAGGGGTTGATTGCATTGAATCTGTAGATTGCTTTGGGTAGTATAGTCATTTTCACAATATTGATTCTTCCAATCCAAGAACATGGTATATCCATCTGTTTGTGTCATCTTTGATTTCTTTCATCAGTGTCTTATAGTTCTCTGAGTACAGGTCTTTTACCTCCTTAGGTAGGTTTATTCCTAGGTATTTTATTCTTTTTGTTGCAATGGTGAATGGGATTGTTTCCTTAATTTCTCTTTCGGAATTTTCATCATTAGTGTATAGGAATGCAAGAGATTTCTGTGCATTAATTTTGTATCCTGCAACTTTACCAAATTCATTGATTATCTCTAGTAGTTTTCTGGTGGCATCTTTAGGATTCTCTATGTATAGTATCATGTCATCTGCAAACAGTGACAGTTGTACTTCTTCTTTTCCAATTTGTATTCCTTTTATTTCTTTTTCTTCTCTGATTGCCGTGGCTAGGACTTACAAAACTATGTTGAATAATAGTGGTGAGAGTGGACATCCTTGTCTCGTTCCTGATCTTAGAGGAAATGCTTTCAGTTTTCACCATTGAGAATGATGTTTGCTGTGGGTTTGTGGTATATGGCCTTTATTATGTTGAGGTAGGTTCCCTCTATGCCCACTTTCTGGAGAGTTTTTATCATAAATGGGTGTTGAGTTTTGTCAAAAGCTTTTTCTGCATCTATTGAGATGATCATATGGTTTTTCGTCTTCAAGTTGTTAATATGGTATATCACGTTGATTGATTTGCGTACATTGAAGAATCCTCCATCCCTGGAAGAAATCCCACTTGATCATGGTGAATGATCCTTTTAATGTGTTGTTGGATTATGTTTCCTAGTATTTTGTTGAGGATTTTTGCATCTATATTCATCAGTGATATTGGTCTGTAATTTTCTTTTTTTGTAGTATCTTTGTCTGCTTTTGGTATAAGGGTGATGGTGGCCTTGTAGAATGAGTTTGGGAGTGTTCTTTCCTCTGCAATTTTTGGGAAGAGTTTGAGAAGGATGGGTGTTAGCCCTTCTCTAAATGTTTGATAGAATTCATCTGTGAAGCCACCTGGTCCTGGACTTTTGTTTATTGTAAGTTTTTTTAAATCACAGTTTCAATTTCATTACTTGTGATAGGTCTGTTTATATTTTCTATTTCTTCCTGGTTCAGTCTTGGAAGGTTACACCTTTCTAAGAATTTGTCCATTTCTTCCAGGTTGTCCATTTTCTTGGTATAGAGTTGCTTGTAGTAGTCTCTTATGATGCTTTGTATTTCTGTGGTGTCCACTGTAACTTCTCCTTTTTTTTTTTTTTTTTTGTGGTACGCGAGCCTCTCACTGTTGTGGCCTCTCCCGTTGTGGAGCACAGGCTCCGGACGCGCAGGCTCAGCGGCCATGGCTCACGGGCCCAGCCGCTCTGCGGCATGTGGGATCTTCCCGGACCGGGGCACGAACCCGTGTCCCCTGCATCGGCAGGCGGACTCTCAACCACTGCGCCACCAGGGAAGCCCCACTTCTCCTTTTTCATTTCTAATTTTATTGATTTGAGTCCTCTCCCTCTTTTTCTTGATGAGTCTGGCTAAAGGGTTATCTATTTTGTTTATCTTCTCAAAGAACCAGCTTTTAGTTTTATTGATCTTTGCTATTGTTTTCTTTGTTTCTATTTCATTTATTTCTGCTCTGATCTTTATGATTTCTTTCCTTCTACTAATTTTGGGTTTTGTTTGTTCTTCTTTCTCTAGTGCCTTTAGGTGTAAGGTTACATTGTTTATTTGAGATTTTTCTTGTTTCTTGAGGTAGGGTCATATTGCTATAAACTCTCTTAGAACTGCTTTTGCCGCACCCCATGGGTTTTGGATCGTTGTGTTTTCATTGTAATTTGTCTCTAGACATTTTTTGATTTCCTCTTTGATTTCTTCAGTGATCTCTTGGTTATTTAGTAACACATTGTTTAGCCTCCATGTGTTTGTGTTTTTTTATGTTTCTTTCCCTGTAATTGCTTTCTAATCTCATAGCACTGTGCTCAGAGAAGATGCTTGATATAATTTCAATTTTCTTAAATTTACTGAGGCTTTATTTGTGACCCAAGATGTGATCTATCCTGGAGAATGTTCCGTGTGCACTTGAGAAGAAAGCGTAATATAGTACATTATAGGATGGAATGTCCTATAAATGTCAATTAAATCTATCTGGTCTATTGTATCATTTAAAGCTTGTGTTTCATTAATTTTCTGTCTGGATGAACTGTCCATCGGTGTAAGTGAGGTGTTAAAAGTCCCCCACTATTATTGTGTTACTGTCGATTTCCTCTTTTATAGCTGTTAGCAGTTGCCTTATGTATTGAGGTGCTCCAATGTTGCGTGCATATATATTTATAATTGTTATATCTTCTTCTTGGATTGATCCCTTGATCATTATGTAGTGTCCTTCCTTGTCTCTTGGAACATTGTTTATTTTAAAGTCTATTTTATCTTATATGAGTATTGCTACTCCAGCTTTCTTTTGATTTCCATTTGCATGGAATATCTTTTTCCATCCCCTTACTTTCAGTCTGTATGTGTCCCTAGGTCTGAAGTGGGTCTCTTGTAGGTAGTATATATATGGGTCTTGTTTTGGTATCCATTCAGTGAGCCTGTGTCTTTTGCTTGAAGCATTTAATCCATTCACATTTAAGGTAATTATCGATATGTATGTTCCTATTATCATTTTCTTAATTGTTACTGGTTTGTTTTTGTAGGTCCTTTCCTTCTCTTGTGTTTCCCACTTAGAGAAGTTCCTTTAGCATTTGCTGTAGAGCTGGTTTGGTAGTGCTGAATTCTCTTAGCTTTTGCTTGTGTGTAAAACTTTTGATTTCTCTGTCGAATATGAATAAGATCCTTGCTGGGTAGAGTAATCTTGGTTGTAGGTTCTTCCCTTTCATCACTTTAAATATATCGTGCCACTCCCTTCTGGCTTGTAGAGTTTCTGCTGAGATACCAGCTGTTAACCTTATGGGAGTTCCCTTGTATGTTGTCATTTTTCCCTTGTTGCTTTCAATAATTTTTCTTTGTCATTAATTTTTGTTAATTTGATTACTATGTGTCTCAGCATGTTTCTCCTTGGGTTTATCCTGCCTGGGA